GATATGGAAGTAACTTGCACTTGGGAGTTTTAAATAACATTGGGAAACCTAGAGCCAACAACTACGACTTTGGATACCAGTCTTGCCATGGGACTGCAGCTGCTGCTGTTTGTCTCTGCTGCAGCATCTTGGTGTGCTGCTCTCTGGGTTATAGTAATGCAACTGTCTGCCTAGCCAGGGTGTAAACTAGACCAGGGACTGGCTTGTAAAAGCAAAAGGAAAAAAAAAGCCAAAGCCTCAAAAACCCAAACCCAACAAAAGGCAGCCCGGACTTCTCTTTTATCGGGTTTATTTTGTAACTTATTCAGCCCCTGATGGGGAACTGTCTGGATAGGCAGCGGTTAAAGCAGTGATTTGTGGGATGGGTGTTGAGGAGTGTGTTCAAGTTTGCCCCCCAGCAGGGGGGTAGATAACAGTTATAATAGCTGTAAGTCCCACCTTTTCATGAAAGGTTTCTGAAGCAGAAGCTCTGTGGTGGTGATTGTACAAACACAGGGCTAGCAGCAAGGTGTGTTGCAACAGGCACCTGTCTTCAGCTGGCACCAGCTGAGCTCACAACCCTTGCCAGTATGTGGAAATGTTGCCAGACTGTACAGCCAGAAAAGAGTGACAGAGACGGACCAAGGTAGGGAATGTTAGTACAGCTGCGGGCTTTAAAATCAGCCTCCTGAGTTTGTCTGCTTGAGTAGCTGCGTTGGGTAGGCAGGAGAAAAAACAATTAATTTCTGATGGCATTTTAATTTTCCATGGACAAAAAAACCCCACATAATAAATATATTCCTAGATGATGAGATGTAGTAGAGGTTGGAGAGTGTAAAGCTGCAAGTACACTGCAGGAGGTCCTCAGTGTCCAATGTGCTCGACTCAAGCCTTGCTTGCTGTGAGAACATGGGGGTTATGTGTTTGGTCCCAAAACTGAGCTACCTGGCTGTCTTGAATGCTGCCCACTGCTCTCAGAGGTTGGTGATTTGAGCGGTGCCTTGCTCGTACTTGTTGCTGAACGCTTTTGAGTGCAGTCAGGTTGCAGGAAGCCTTTGGGTATGGTGAGGGATGATGGCCTTCCCTGCCCCGCGGCAATCTGTCCTCTGCCGTGCATTGGAGGAGAGGACCAAGTGGTAGAGTGGGGAGTTTGGTTTAAGGAACCCCTAAACCTCTTGGAAGCTGCTGAGCTGATGTGTGGTTTCAACACGCTCAGTAAATGGGTATTGTTTTTCTTTTTGAGCCTTGATTGATAGTTCACCCTTAAGAACAAACTGTTTTCTTGCTCTTTTTTGTTACCATGGGTCCGAGAACACAATACATGGTTAAATGTGCAGGACATTTGATCTCCTTTCCTGGGTGTTGTCACTTTGCTACCATTACACCTGATTGTATTTGTAGTTTTGTACTTTCTGTAGCTTAGCTTTGTAGGGGGAGATTACATCTAAATTCTGTCCCTTCTTGCCATTCAAATTTATGAGTAGCAGAGAAACCAATTCTGCTTTCCAGCTCCTGCTGTGTGTGTATTTCCTAGCTTGTTTCCAACAGCGTGGAGTAACAGTGCTCCTGCTTTGCCCCGTATTTATCTTTGCTATCAGTGTTCTGCAGCTGGTCAGTATTGTATTTCAGAGCCATTAGTAGACTTTAGTCTAAATGTCTAAATCTGGCTCTTTGTGTTCTTTCTAGATTATGTCTTTTATTAGTCCTGACTTTACTAAAGGCCTCAAACAAAACGTATTCAAATGTATTGATCTCACTTGTATCAGACTTCCATTGGAGTAGCCAGAATGCCTCCAGTGATTTCAAATAGAATCCACGTGGAGACCAGGTTAAGAAATGCTAGCGGTTCACACCTGGGCATCTGTGTGGACTAACATGTAGCCATCACAACCAAAACCTCTTAATGTGTTGGTAAGGATGGCAGAGCAGGGAAGATACCAAAAGTTTTACTTTTCAGTTTCACACAGTGCTTCTGCCTGAGCATCCAAGAACATGTTTTCTTTTCCAGGGTTGGATCCGTCAGCTTCATACTTCAAGAGTAAATTATATTACAAAATAGTAACCTGTTCTCATGGTTAACAACGGTGAGCAGGACTGCTGAGAGCAGATTGCCGTTAGCTTTCTTATAGTTGGTTCAGGCAATGGCCTGCCACACAAGAAGACTAAACCTTGAGAGATCTGTCCCTCCTTTAGTAAGTGCTTAATATCACACTCAGAGGTGCTGGCTGTGAGACTGTATAGATACTACAGAGCACACACGTGTGCAAATGTGGTAGATGAGTGAATATATGGAAATACAAGATTGAAGATGGTACAAACTTTTAACTCAAGCTGAGGATTTTAGAATCAATCTTGCTAAGCAGAGCTAACTGGTAAGTTACAGAAATGGCAAGTGTCCGTGCTAGTTTCAAAAGACAAATCCCAAAACGAGTTGGTTCTGATGGTGTAGCCTTGTAGGAAGCATTAGGCACAGGGTTACACAAGCTGCCTGCATCTGCAGTGGGAAGTTAACTTGCCTTCATCATCCTGAAGCACTCTAAGCAAAACAAACTGCAGGTTCATTAAACAGTGTAGTTGCTGGTAACAGTGGTAGTTGTTACACGAATAAAAGCTGGAAGACTCTTCTGGTGGGTGTGGTAGCGTTCAAGCATGCTGGCAGGTTCAGCTGTCCTTTCAGCGTGTTTAATAGGGAAATGAAAATCGGAGATACTGGAGGAGGATCACTTTGCTTTCTGAACCTGTGTGGTTCGAAAGGCTGCGTGTATGCTTTATTTGCCTGGAAGCTAGGTGACTCTACTGTGCAGCTTTTATTTTAAAGCAAATAATAACTAGTTAGGTCTTGTACAGTAAATTAACACCTACTGAACTGTGTATATGTTGCTTGTCTTCTCTCCTTAGTTTATGTGCTTTTTCTATGGTGAAGGGTGAAAAAATGCAACCTTAATACTCTGTTTCTTTGTCGTCTTGTCTGTGTGGCTTTGGTATTTGGACAGATAACAATGGTGTAAGCTCATAAATTTTTCCTAGCCTGCTCAGTTTGCTGTGGATGAGAGGTGCTAAGCATCCTTACGTAAAAAAAGACAGGCAGTGCCTTAAACAAACAAGGCTGTTTGATCAGCAGCACTGCCCTTTGCGAACTTCATTCTTACCTGGAAACAAGGTACTGCGTGTCTTCTTCCTTCTCGTAGATGCCACAGTCTAACCTACTGACAACTTAAACATCAGCATTATTGTGGCATGGCCATGGCTTGTTTCTTGTAAACTGGAGGGTGGGAGAGACAGGATTGTTCAGAGGAAGGATTTTGGGGGTTTCTTTCCTTGATCTCAACCCCCACATAAGTGAAGCCTGCTATGCTGAGACAGGTACTCAGTGCAGTGAAACTTCTGCTGGGAGCTAGGCTTGTAGGACTTCCCAGGAGGATCTCCCCTGCCCATTAATGCTCAAGTGATACTAGATTTGTTAAGCTTGTTTGGGGTTTTGTCAGGAATTTATTAAATGAACCTCTTGGCTCTTAACTATTAAAGGCTTCTGATCTCTTCATGTTGCTTTTCCAAAGTGTTTTTCATGTTCTCCACTTTTCCTTTGTTTCAATCTCAGAAATAAGCGTGGATGGGGGAGCTTTCAGCACCTTCTATGACACGAGGCGTTGAAATGGTTATTGAAAGTCCTGATACATTTTAATAAGCATCTCCGTAACCCTGCTTTCTCTCATATTAATAAACCTTCTGGCAGAGGACAACTTCTAGAACCTAATCTTAGTTTCATCTGAGAATCTGCAGTAACTGATCTCTTATGAATAGACTTGAGTCTCTCGCTGCAACATGGTAAATGTCGTGCAGGAGAATAAATCTGTACAAATGATGGCCAGAATTAGTTGAATAACAATAATGTTTTTCCTTCATCTTTGCTTTTATGAAATGTGTCTTAAATTACACATCTGGTTCACCTCTCTTCTGGTAACTGAGGAATTAAGCTTTGCTTCTGAAGCAAATGTTTGTGTCTGAAGTTGAATGTCTGTGGCTGGTCCCTTCGCATTGCAGTGATGAAATCTGAAATGTTAGTCATCAACTTGCAAGTTCTTTTATATCTGAGGTTTTTCTTGGTTCCTATTAGGAAGGTATGTTGTGGCAAGGAAGCCACATAGTGTCCATTTAATTTTCTCTGCAATTTTTGAACTCTGTTGCATATTTACATAGTAATGTGGCATCTTAGGCTATGTCTCTTTCTAGAGCACCTCAAGACTTCTTGAACCAAATGGTAGCTCTGTTGTGAATTGGCATACCCAGATCCCCCCTTCCTTAGTAACCTGAAGTCCTTAACTTTCCTGCAGCAGTACAAACTCTCTTTATATGAATGAGTATTTTTGTAGCCTGATTCTCTTCTCTGTATGACTAATAATTTCCTGGTACCTTTTTAATACTGAAAGGCTGCAATAATTTTCTTGTGTTGTTTGGAATATTTTCTCTAACCACAGTTGTCCTGTAGTGTCATCACATGAATAAATAACAAATTTCAGTTTTGATTCTACATCTTACTGCTTACCCAACAGCAACTGAAAGGCGCTTACAGCAATTTCCTGCCGGATTTAATTCTGACCCTGGAGTCTGTTGGTTTCCTTACCACGCAGTCAGCTATTAGCTCATGGCTCCTACTCTGTCAGTTACATCTGTTGTAAGATGAAGAGGAACTTCTTGAGAAAGACAGTCAAAGCCATCTGCCAACATACCCCAGCTGATTCTGCCTTTATGAATGGTTAGCCTTTGGCCTCTGGCTGTTCTGGAGTATCCTCCAAACCACAACCTGTTCCTAACTCGTGCAAGGTCCCCTGCCATTGATTTTGGTGTAACTCCATCTGTGTGCCCAGGAGAGCAGGAGGTACCTGACCTCAGTCCATACTTTAGTTTGTTCAAGCTCGTGGGCATTGGTGTGGTGTGACTTGCCCCACTGCTCTCAGGACATCTGCCTCCTCTGGCCTCAACCCAATCCTACCATCAAACCCTGCTGTGGCTTGTGGGTCACCATGGAGAGCATAGGGGCTGTCAGCGAGGACAATCAGGAGCTGTGTGATGGGTATCAGGAGAATTTTGTGCCTTATGTCTCTGCCAGGATGGATGAGCTCGAGGAACAGTACTGGGGAATCTCTGAGGCTGCCTTCATCCTCTTGATGCTGAACAATCCTCAGTCTGACTCCTCTAAAGCGGAGCAGTGAGTCAACACCACAGGGAAGTACTTTAACTCACAGTGAGAACAACTGACATCACTTCAGTCTTCTGTCTCCCAGGCGTGGTGCAAATGGGACATCTGAAGTGCTGTGAAGCTGATGTAGTGCTGCTCTGCAGAGTGCTGTCATCCTTCATTCCCTCCACCTACTGAGCCAGCTGCCAGGTGGGCTCTAGCTCCTTTGGTTGCCAGAGGTGCTTTTGCTTTCCTGTGTCACATTAAAGCCATGCAAATAGTTTCTATAGCAACAAGTCTTTTCTGCTTCACTCTGATGCAAAATCCTGAAAGGTCTTTCTCATTCTGTCTTCATATAATTCTGATTTTTTTTTTTCTTTTATCAACTCTTTTTGGAGATAGAGGGGAAAATTCATTCTGCTCTATTTCAGGAGTTAACTTGCACCAGTGGTGACTGTTCAGTTTTAACAGTCCACTGAAGTTTCTACAAGAAGACTTGAACATGGGCTGAAGGAAAAATCAGCTGGAATAATCTAGAGAGTGCCCTGACTGTACATATGATGTTTGTTCTTGTTCCTCTCCTCCCAGCCCCGTATTTTAATTCAAATCTTAGCTTTTCATTAGTGTGATGTGTCTAGGCTTAAGGACTTAAGCAGTAAATTCCCGTAGCTTTTCTGGGGTGGTGGAGAACGAAAATGGTGTTATTTGCAGGTTCCTTTGGCTTACAGACAGGGCTTGGTGGCATCAGTGGAGCACAGCTGTGACTAATCAAAGCAGAGTGAGGGGAGCTATGGCTTTGAGAGGCTAAGGGATGATATATGGACATGCCCATCCTCCTGCTAGCAGAGGAGACACTAGTCCTGTCCCACTGGTGTGGATGATCCCTAAGTGGTACTTGGAGGGAGTAGAAGTGTTGCTTCATTTGAGAGGAAGAATTTCTTTTTTGTATCAAGGAAAAGTAGCCTGTTGAGGAGGAGCCTATCTCAGCTGCAGGTGCCTTGCTTTGTCAGGAAACCAAGACAGCAATATTTACTTCTAGCTGTCCTTTTCTCTAAAATCCCTGTTGACTTCTGTGCTTTTGCTTTGAAGATCCTGGTGCCCCAGGAGGAAGGGATGGAAAAGATGCCGGTGCATTAGAAGGGCAGGTGAGTATTTTAGAGCTGAGAGATGTAGTGAGTGTAACAGCCCCATTGCTCTGCATGAACTGGGACAGGGCTGGGGAGAGACAATGTGACTTCTAGATCTTGCCCTGAGTGGCAAGAGTAAATGTTATGTGGTCTCCAAATGAGGAAACTGAAATCCAAGCTAGTGAAGCAGGCAGTGTGCCCTAGTAGGTAGAATGAAAGAATGGGAAAAGAGGCATTGAATTTGTCTCCCGCTTTGCTTCTGACCTGGTTAATCTGAGGCCCTGTTTCCCCTTCTGTCCTTTCAGCTCTGTTAAGTTCTCCAGAACACATGCTGCAGACTGAGCTTGTCGGGGCTCTGTTTGATGCTGTTGCAAATTGATCAAAAAAAAAAAAAAAAAGGCAGACAAAGTTAGATAAAATGGTATTGCCTCCCTGCACAAAGTGTTTGAGTCTCTGCCAAACAAGTCTCTCCTGTGTAATAGTGCAAACAAGTGCTGCAGTGGGACATAGCACAGCATCTGGTCACAGCTTCTCTTTCCCAGCTCTTCTTTTGTCAACACAAAGTTTGGATTTCAAAGGGGGAGGTATAAGGCCTCAAGCTATGCTTATTTTCATGAGAACAGACTTGTGGAGTGTGAGCAGGAGGGACTGGAGTAGGATGGGGTGTCTGGGGCTCTCTAACACCATGGGCATTTACTCAAGTAGTGGCCTTCAGTCTTATGTTTTGTTTTACGTTGTGTCCCTGTATCAGCTGGCAGTTGTGAAGGGGTTATTGGAGGGGCTAAGACTAAGCTGGTTTCTTTCTTTATGGTCTCTGGCCCTCCTCCTCAAGGAGTAACTGGTGCTGACTTAAAATCAGCACACCTTGGTGCAGGCACAACTGCAGAGGCTACACAGCTGAGCAGGTATTGCCTGTGACCTGGCTGCAACTTGCTGCTAGTATTAAACAAATCTAAGGTGCAAAATTGGCAAAGCCTGAATGAATGAGAAGTGTGAAGCACCCCAGAGCTCTGTGGTTAGATCTGTTTGCTTACACACCTCTAAAACTCCTAGAGTTTTTACTGAAGCTGCTGTGACTCTGGGCTGTAGCCTAAGAGGGAGTGTGCAAGAAGGCTGGATAACCTTTGTGTTCCTGTTTGATGGCTTTAGCCATGGGAGGGATGTATGTTGTTCCTGAAGTTGCCTGTATGGTACTTCACAGGTTGCTTAACCTTCTTTTCCCCCAGCTTTAAAATAGGGCTGACAGCTGGCTCCATGATACACTGTGGCTCCTCAGCGTTCCAGTGTAGACTTAGGTTCCTTAGATAAGTCTGTAAGGTTCTATTAATATATGTTTTATATATAAATTAGTATCTATATGTAAACACATACATATATATATGTGACTTCACAGGCTTTGGCCTTGTGCTGCATCACACATTACCATGATTCTTAATGAGAATGTGGCTGGTTTTGATTGTTCTGAACAGTCTGCTTCACAAGTGCGCTGACGTAAATCCATATCTAACATCAGGCTCGGATACGCTCCTGGTAAGATTGGTATTAGCCAAGCTGGTGGTCTAATAACAGTAGCAGTCACTCTGGAGATGCTCCATGGGTCTGTTTGGATTTCGTTTTAATAACGCTGGGCATAGTAGCAGTTTTTGTGAAACCACTGTTTGCCTTTCTGCTGTAGAAATGGCACGTCTGCGGAGTGCTGCGGGAGGGAGCTGAGAATCCAGGTGTCTGCTCTGTCTCTCCTTCTCTCTCCTCTGAGCCTATTCTGTTTTGGATTCATAGTTATACAACTTCATGATGATCCCCATGTAATAAAAAAGTCCTCTCCAGCAGTGTTTGGTGTAAACTAGACTCTGAAATTTGAAGTACAAAATTATGTGCCTTTACAGAGTTGTCTCCTGGCCTCTTTTGTGCCCCCTACTCCTGCTTTCTGACCTGATCAAAAGCCTTCTGGGGTTCAGCCTCACTGTCTTGCAGGTTGCCAGCCATTCTCGAGAAAGAATGTGCGTCGCAGGCAGAACATCTTGCGCACAGTTTCCAGGGTTACCTGTGTAGTGCTGATAGCAAGCAGGAAATTAAAATGCTCCGTGATGATGAGACGTTATCGACAACAGATGGTGGCCATTAGGTGTACGTGCATGTCAGGGGAAGGCATAAAGGCGGCAAGTAGAGCAGACACAACTATTAGATTTGTGTAATCGCTGCTGCAAGTGCTAAGCTCCTCTGTGGATGAAGCAGGGCAGTCCCTGAGCACCCTGGTTCCCCTTTGAGGCATGGTGTATATCACTGTGGTTCCTGGAAATAACTCCAAGTAGTCAGTGTGGCTTCAAGCGAACTTTTTAGCAGAGGATCTTTTGTTCTGACTATCAGTCCTTCTGTACAGCTAGTTTGCTCTTGCTATTCTCTCCCTCTTGCTTTAATCTCTCTTCTCTACAGCTTTTCTCTCTTATCCTTCAACAGGCTCGGTTTCCTAACTTGAGACTGTTCTACTTTTAACTTCTCCAAGCATGGTCCAGCTGCCTGCAATCTTTGTGAAGACCATAGTGATCAGCTGTAACCTGTGTCAGGATTGCTTGAGGATGCGTCAGGGGACTGCTAAATCTGGAAAATCAGCTGAGGATGTGTTCTGCTGAGCTCTGAGACGAGCAAAGTGTCACGTTGTATGTTCCTTTTCTTACTGAGCAATCTCTTCTTCCTTCTGTCTTTATGATTTTCTCCACCTTAATTCTCTGTAAACTCCGAGGTGCAGAATTAGAATGGAGTGTGTACATGTATACCTGCTTTCAGCTCAGGACAGCAAATCTCTCCCCCAATCTGTGGATACAGATTGTCTGTTTGACTTTTGTGTATGCCTAAAACAGCTGCTGGCTCATGTGCTCCAGGATGAAACAAAAGAATATCTTACCTGGGTACAAATCCTGCTTGAAGATAGTGATGCTGGTGTTAAAGTGTTTGAAGAAATGGCTGCGGTGGTTTAGCTTTTCTCAAACCTCGGGCTCAGCTTGGCGTGTGGTATGTGGAAGCACTAATGGAAGCCCACTTTGAGAGGTGCTGTCCTCCTCAACACTGGCTTTTTCAGCTGTAGTCTTAATTAGTTTTAAGATGTCAGTAATTCTGCAAAGACTAGACTCATTCTAACCTGGGTTCAGAGTAGTACTTGAATAAATACTTGACTTCTGGTGTAGCTAGTCTGACGTAGCCCTGTGGCAATTATGTGATCGTATGTAAACCAAAAGCGTACTTGCGATGTTACTCCTTAATTGCATCCCGTATCTTAACCCTAAAATCTGTAGTTCTGAGAGAGCTGTGCTCTTGCTACAAGCTTTCTCAGATACTGGCTGGAAGAACCTTCCATGCTTGTGCAATTATTTTTTTTTTTTTTTTAATGCAAGTGTTTAATTTCAGATGTTCTGAATGACGCCATCTTTAATGAAGATCATGATGAAATGGTAATTGTGAAGGACATAGACATGTTCTCATTGTGTGAGCATCACCTCGTTCCGTTTGTTGGAAAGGTAACTCTTCACCACAAAACAAATGTGGGAATACATGATAAAAGACCTGAAGTACATGTAAAAGACTTTGTAGCTGTAACTACAAAGCTTTTAAAGCTTTAAGTATTTACTGCTTACGGCTATGATTCTAGAAGTTAATCTTCAGAATACAAATAAGGAAGACCTCCTTAATGTGAGTTTTATTTGGATTTAAGCTCCTACAATATAATGCTTGACCTTTCCTAGTCTAAGTGATCTAATGGTTTCTGACATTTCATATCAAAGCTCTTCTTCGTGAAGCAGCACCAAGCCTTGAGGGCAGACATCTTGATATTAAACCTGCTCGCCCTGCACGCTGGCTCTGTCACAGATTTAGCTTCTGGCTCAGAGCTATGTAGTGCACATTCATCTTGGGAACCCTCTGTGAATGGAACAAATTTCTGATTAGCAACCCTGTCTTAAATAAGCAAGCCCAGTCAGGGAGGGGTGGTCAAAATTGGCTAGCAGGAGGCTGCTTAGGTTGGGACCCCTATGAAAGGGACTGATGTTTCAGAGGGTGTTGAAATTGTGGTGCCAGCAGCTTTAAAAAGAAAATAAAAATTCTCAAGTTAACCACCATAGACATGAGGAAGAGTTCAGAGTACGTAGTCGCTTCTGCCCTCCTCAGCCTCTTTACTTCCATATCAACACAGAAGGATGGAGCTTATTCTGATCCAACTGTTCTACCATAAAGTACTCGTAGGCCAGAAGGTAGCAAGTGCTTTTGTTTTCTGTTAAATTTGATCGGTACCACATATGTTCCAAGTAAACTGTCTCCCCAGAATAAAATACCTGAACAGAAACCATCTGTTAATTTAGTTGAGTCAAGTCAATTTCATCTGCTTTCTTTTCTTACTGTTAGTATTTTATACTGGAAAACAAGGTGACTTCTGGTTCTGTGCAAGCTTTGTATTTCGACTGTTATTCTTGGTTACGCACATTGTGTATAGTCTCTTTGTTACCCCTGTGGCGATATGTGCATTCTTTTCACATCTAGCTGTTTAGCCTGTGTGGTTTGGAGAAATCTCCTTGCAAACACTGAATTGGTCCTGCTCATATAACGGTCTGCTAAATGACTTGGTATACCTCTAAATATTCTCAAACTAACCATTCTCCTGTTGGGTATGTCAAACAGGCTGCAAATACTGACCAGTAGGTCTTGTATTTGCAGTTCTATCTTAAACAAAGTAAAGAAATTTGCAAAAATACTCTGGGGAACAGGATTCAACGCTTAATTCTAAGTTATGTCTCTTTATCTGAAATGTTTCATGTCTTTTCAGGTGTCAGTGGGTTGATTACCCAAGAGAAGTGATAGGAATGAGCAAGTTAGCCAGGTAATTAGGTGCACTGTGGTACCTCTAATTACAGGTACAGCGATACAGGATTCTGAGATGGGGCCTCTAGGCAAAGCACTAAGACAGTATCCTACACTGACACTCCCCTGCTGTATCTTGGCTAATTTTTCAAGTCTCTGTTACAGTGACACAAATGCTGGTTTATAATCTCTCGTAACTGTAAACCCACTTGAATTCAGGAGCCTATGTTGCTTTCTAAAAATGAGAAGCTAAATGGCTTTCCCCCTACCTCTCCCCCTACTTTATTATTCCCCCTACCTTCAAGAGCACTTTTATTCTCAAGGATTTATTCCGACTTAGTGCAACTCCATGTTCAGTAGGAATATTCAGCAAATCCATATTCGAACAGGATGGAAGTTGACTTAATCATACAGTGATCTATGGTACTACCAAAGCAGAAAAAAATAACCAGTAAAGTGTGGCCTGATTTTGGTGGCTAAGTATTTCTTGCCATCAGAACTTTCACTGGAAATAAAGTACGGTCCCTCTCCTTCCCGCTCCCTAAATCCGTTTTAGGTCTTGAAAGAAAAGCGTGTTTATTCTAGACGAACAGTGCTGTGCTGAGTAATAGTCTGCTTTTTGTACCTAAGCATAGTAGAACTCTGTAGCATTCCTGAGACTTGGAACATAAGCCTTGACTCTTGAAGAGTTGCATTTTTTTACCCCTTGGAAGACTTACCTATTCCTCACCAGGACACTGACCACCAGGCATTGTTAGCTCCACAATTTTTCAGGCATGCATGGTGGCATGTTCCTCCCACATGCTAGGACTTCTGGACTGTTCCAGAATTAGTTCTGGTGCAAATGCACATCTCATTCTCTATGCATGAGTTTCATAAGCGTTTGGAAGTGTGGCTTTGATTCTGTTAATGGTTTGTTCTCCTCTGCCTAGGTCCATATTGGCTATCTTCCTAACAAACAAGTACTTGGCCTCAGCAAGCTTGCTAGGTAAGTGTTAATGGAATGAAAGTGATGCTAATTTGTAAAAAGGATTCCAAGCTGTGCTAACTGTGCTAATCTTTCTAATCTGGTCTGCCTCTAAAGCTCAGCTCACTTTGTGTCCTGGATTTGGATTCAGACCAATCCTCAGCATTCTATTTTCTGTGGAGAGGGCAGATAAGTCTTGGAGCTCTGTGTTAATTCACATCACAGTTGACGACAGTAGAGTCGTAACGCTTTTGTACGTTCGTCCAAAGCATTGGTGTCTGCAGGGAGCACAGAAGCAAGAACAACAGAGAATTTGGCCACTTTCTAAGGCAGGCCACCAGAACTAATGGGGATCTCGAGCTTTTTACTGCTTGTATGTATATTGACTGATAATACAAAGCTAAATGAACATGTTCTACGGATAGAAATTTAATCTAAAGCTTTAATCTGTTAGCTGACACTTCAGATAAATTTGGCATTTCTTTCTTTCACTGGAGACCTGCTGAGAAAAAAAAAGATTTAATAGATAATGTTCAGCCTAAGAAACAAAGCAACTATGATACACTTGAGAAATCCATTTCTTATGTAAAATAGGTTTTTCCTCAGCAAGTGCCCTTGGTTCACTTGTTGCACTGAGTCTTGTTGTCCAGTGACACTTTATAGTTCTGGTGAGGAAGGGGATGGTAGATCCCTTCAATAAGCAGCTTACTGAGGACTGGAGGGGTCTCTTTTGAGAAATGGATCTGAAAAACTCTCTGTAGTTCCGAAAGACCACATAGGTTTTTCTCAGACTTTCCCCGATAACATCTGTTAATCTTGCTGTAGTTCCAATAACCCTAATTAGAATTAGCCTTGTAAATCTGCATGCCTGCTGGGTTTTCTTAGTGGGTAGGAAATGTGTAGGATATGGCACTAAAATGCTTTAGAGTCAGTCAGCTCTGTTCTGTGCTCTGCTTGCACAACCCTGAATTTGGTTTGGGAGTGGAAGGGCCCTTGGAGGTCACATCTTTGTAAACGTAACCTCATAGAACAGGGAGGCCATCTTTGTGTCCTCCAGCAGTGCTTATAGGAGTGGACTTTGCTCTGATTAAAAGGCTGAAACAGACAGTTTAACATTTGAAGTTTTTTTCCGACATGTTTTCTGTGGCTGTACCTAACTGTTAAAATTGTAGGATGAGGTTTTGAGCTGACAACACAGGAGTTGCTGGGCGAAAGACTTTGCCTTCTGTAGCTGCTCACGCTTAGAATCACAGAATGGTTTGGGTTGGAAAGGACCTTAAAGATCATCGAGTTCCAGCCCCCTGCCATGGGCAGGGACATGTCTGTGTGGCAGTTCACAGCTTGTGTTGCATGTTGGCTGGCACTTGTGTGGCTGGATCTTTTTAAGCAGTGAGGGTTGGTTTTTTTAAGTCGGATTTCCGAAGGTGAACATCCTTCCTGAACAGACTGTCTTTAGCACGTGGTTTCATTTCTTCAGGGCTTGAATGCAGGATTAAGGATCACATTTGAAATATGCGTCGGTTGATTTGTGCTTGCTCTGGTCTCTAGTTACCTCTGAATTGCAGATGTAAAAAGGAGATCAAAACTCTCTCTCTCTTTTTTTTTTTTTTTTTTTAATGCAAATAGCAACATGGTGCTAGAAGTGTACAATTTTCCTGATAGTATTCTCAGTACGGAAGTACACGTGAATATGTGCGAGGCTTCCTGCACTGTGCTTGAAAGGTTAAATCTTTCCTCTTTTTCAAGTCAGGGTAAAACTTCCATATTCTGCAATAATGAAGAGATTGGGTTCTTGTATAACAAAATGTTCTCAGTCCTCGCTTGCTTTTGAGTGCTCGCCATAAAGAGATTGGTGGTCCAAGGCGTGCTTCCCTTTTGTGTCCTATATAATGCAACCAGTGTTCAAACGAAGATTTGTGAGGCTGTTGGTGCTGTAGGCCTAATCTTTCATAATACGATTAGTCTAATGTGGTGAGTTTCTGTAGTTGTGGGTGACCTGTATTCGATAAACAAACATCTTTCTTTGGGTTTTAAGCTCAGGCTTGAAAATGCAAATAACTTTTTACATAAACATCCTTATAGGACTTCTTATATGCAATACTAGTGTAAAAAAAAAAATAAAATGTGAGCATCAGCTTGTTTCCTGTCCATATATTTAAATATTATGTTGCTTTGTTTAGAATTGCTGTAACACAACCATTTCATTTCTGGAGGGGAGTTTCTGCATAGAATTCTCTCTCCAAAACAGCAGGCAAGTTTCATCATCAGAAACATTTCTTGTAACTACTGCCTCAGGCTGCCAGCCAGCGTCTGGTTTTCGTCTAATCTGACCGAAGGGGTACTGAAGCTTTCTATAGCAACTGGATGTGTAATTAAGCATTTGAGGCTGGCACGAACAACCCGTTGAGTTACAGAGCAGTTTATAAGACTTTTCTTAAATGTGTGGGTTGTAGTAGGTGACAAATGATGGTAGTATCACTTGCGCTGCCCCACAAATGGTTTAAATTTGAAGTTGTGTTTGAGGGGAGCATTAGGGCGATCCCTGCATTGAAATGTAAGGGATGGTGTGATGTACGGGTGGGGAGGATCTGTTTTAAATAAAAACAATTCTCTCTCATTGTTCTTGGTTAAATTTGACTTTAAATGCAAGAATCCAAAACATCTCTTGCTTAATTTCAGTAGCCTTGCGGGAATCCCAATATCTGAATTGTCCTTAAAGCAGGGTTTGGTTTAGGTTGAAGCAAAAGGAGGTAGTCTGACCTCAGTTCAAGGAGTAGCTTTTAGGGAATCTTTGGGCATGGATTCCCTTGCAACGGTGTGGTGCAGGGTGGTGGTGGTACGAGCAATTCAAAAGGAACAGCCATCAGAAGAAGCTTGAAGGAGGAAGGACAGGTTTGCCCCTGAAATAGTCTCTGGGGTGGCAGGTAGGGGGAACCTGTCACTAAACACAGTGATGTGCTAAGGGAAGTCCTTGAGCCATGGCAGCCAGGGGTTGAGCAGCCCCATGACTTCATATGGATTTCCAGGAAGGATGCGGATCAGTACAGTCGCTTGTTTGATAGTGTTGAGTTAATTGTGAAGATCAGACAATGGTCAGATAGGAATAACTATAATATTGTCTTTTTCCTTTCTCCTTTAGGATTGTGGAAATATACAGTAGAAGATTACAAGGTAAACAGATGAATTTTTTGGTTTTGCTATGTATGCTCCTTTGCTAGCCAGCTCAGGGCACTGGTAATTGTAGGAGGACTACAGCTGTGCAAATTTTAGTGTGAAGAAGAACACACTGTTCTTGAACAGGTGTTTCTCCTCTGTCATTCTAGTTCTGTGTTTCCAGTGAGGGGTAAAATGTGCCTATGAAGATAGATGTAGGCAGTAACGGATTCAGAGAATAAATGTGCTGCCAGAAGTAACGAAACTAGTTGGATGCTGCTGCAGATGAAGTCTCCTACAGATCATCTGAGCAATGCCTTCAGGGATTCTCGTCTGCTGCCCCTGAGAAGTGGAGGGAGCTGCAGGGTCTGAAGCCTTGGGTTGGGCTCAGCCTGTGCTCGTTGTCCTGCAGTTAAATTTGGCCTGGTCTTGGCAACAGAAGTTTTAGTGACCGTTAGGTGTGAGATTGTTGAACAGAGGGTGTTAGAGCTGCAAGAAGTAAAGCTTTGCAGGACAACAGACTCTCTTAATTTTCTCCTTTTTTATCTCCATTTCCTTCCATTGAGAAGAGAAATGGTGTGTAGGGAAGCAGTAAACCCAGTGAGCAAATACATAAAACCTGTAAGAAAATAGAGAAGTTAAGAAAATCTAACTGATTTGGTACTAATCAAATTTATTTAGGAAGAGCAGAGCTTGTGTGTGTGGTGAGTGGAGAACAGGCAGACTTGGAAGTGATGTTGCTGTCCAGTGGTGGTGTGTTGATGCTTGTCAGATTTAACACTGCTTCTGAGCTCCCTGGTTTTTTTTCAGTCCAGGAACGCCTTACCAAGCAAATCGCAAGAGCCATCACAGAAGCCTTACAGCCCGCTGGAGTTGGAGTAGTTATTGAAGCTATGTAAGTTCCTCTGAGCTGTTCCATGGTAGAGTAGGGGCTGTGTGTGATTCTGGCTGTGCACTGCAGAGCTGCTGCGTGTTGCCTCTTTGGCTGCGGTAGCTGTGTCTCATGCTTGTTTAGGAGGCAGAGCGCAGGCAGGAATGATCCTTGCCTGTTCAGGCTCAGCTTGGAGCCACTTAAGGTGGGGGCCTGTCTTATCTGCTGCAGAGATGTGGCAACTGGCAGCGTGCTCAGCTGTCCCAGTTGCACTGGGTCCTTTTTCTGCCTCAGTGCACCTTCTCCTTCCTCAAGTAGAGCAAAGCTTGGGTCTAGCAACAGGCATGACCCTGTGATCAGAATGCACCTTGGAAACGTGGGATTTTCCTGGGATTTGAGGAGAGAAGGCAGCACTTGCATGCTGGGAATTTGACTTTCTCCTCCATAGAGGACAGCTCGGGTGCTACTGACAGATGTCCATTCTGGATATGGAAGTTTTGTCACTTCCCTAGAATTTAATGTGACTGTGTAAGAAACATCTCTGTAGGATTACTTCTTTATTTTGAGTAGAATTCATTTATTGACTCCTGTCTCTTTTTTTTTTTTTTTTTTTCATGTGTATGGTAATGCGTGGGGTACAGAAAATGAACAGTAAAACAGTAACCAGCACAATGTTGGGGGTATTCCGGGAAGATCCAAAGACCCGTGAAGAATTTTTGACACTCATCAGGAGTTGAAACTGTGTTATTCTCTAAATGCACTCTGGAGATTGTTCTGTCCAGTGTCACTGTCTGTTCTTACTTGTTCCTACATCTCAGTTTTAAACTAAATCGTTGTGAATTGTTGTCGTAGTCTTTGTGCAGTAAAAGACTTCTGATGGCAAATGAAAAATGTAACAAAGAGGTAGGCTCCTCCTGGATTTCCAATGATGCTGATGTCATGGAATTACAAGCTACAAATAGGGTTTTGGAAATGTTTTTTTTTTCCATCTACAATGCAGAATATACTGCTGTTAGGAGAAAGGTGGGGCTTGGGAGTGAAACGGATATTTATTAAATAGTTTATTAGCATAACTACAGAGCAGCACAGGAAACAATTGAAAGGCTGTGGATCTTTGCAGGACCACTGCTGCTACAAATACTGTACCTCTGCTGAAAAGGAGGGTCCTGAGTATCTCCGACTCTATTTTATTACAAGTCCTGCAGTGGCTGTTTCAATACCTGGATATGTATGTTATACCTCTTTGAGATGTTACCTCTGGTGGTGCTTTACATTCTTGCTAGTATTAACCCTCCTTTTTTGTGTGAGTGATTTTTTTTGTTTGTTTGAGAAAGTTAAGACTTGTTTTTTCCTAGCCTCTTAATATGCAGGGAATTAACTTCTAAATTATTTGGGGCATAGTCTCATCTCGATATAAAGGGTTTTATGCACCTTTTTCCTCTGTGCCTCGGAATGTCTGACCACTTTAACTGTCAGTTTCTTGCTATTTTTAAGAAAACTTGAGGGGGGAGGAAAAAAACCCCAGAGTCTGTCTGCAAAGCACTAAGAAATCCAAAGAGGTTTTTAATTATATTTGTATCTTGAGCTTTCCTTCTTGGATTTCTGTGGGTTAGAATGAGAAGCTAAATCTAGTCTGATAATCTGAAAATGAAGATTTCTCTTCAAGTATTTCAAGATTTGCATCTCATAAATGTTGGACCAAAAGTGAGCACTGAAGTCCTGAACACAGCACACTGTACCTCTCCTGCCTAACGGCAGGTCATTTCAGAGCAAGGTAACCTGAAATGACAACAACTTATTTTGTAAGAGCAATTGAGAAAAGCATTTCCAGGGCCATCAAAATGAATTAAAGCACATTTTTTTTCCGTGCATGTGGCAACCTCTGTATGTGGCAGTAATGGTACAAAAAGTTTCAGTCAGCTGGACTTGGCTGAACTTCTTCTACTTTGTTACAATTTTAATGGGTGTTTTGTAACTCTTAATTGGGAAAACATAAGGCACAAATGAAAACCACCCTTCTCAAACTAAGCACAGGAGGCAATGCTTAAAAAAATAAAATGTCAGCCAGGGTGTCAGATGCCCATCATGTAGGTTCCCAGGGTCATAGCTGCTTTGGCGAATATGAATCCAAGATGTTCTGTACACCAACCTAAAAGGCAGTTCCTGGTGTGGCAAGCTTGGTCTTACCATCATTCCTGGCTCTTGCTTCAGCCCGTGCTGGAAACAAAATGAAAATCATGTCTGGTCAAATCTCCCTTGGGGCTAAAGAACTTTTAAGAAAAAACCACCTCGTGCGTTTAATTATACAAATGTTACCTGGATGACCTTCAACAGCATTATTGGAAAAATCTTTTGTAATATCCTCTGTCCTGGATTCTTTAGAGTTAGGTGCTATGAAAGTGTTTGTCTGCTAGTGTAAACAAGGTATGTGTTGCGTATTTATAAAATACACTAACTCTACGGCATTTGTTTTCCTTAAATGACTGAGAGTAGATGTCGCCACTTTGCGGTTCAGAATATGTATCCAGCTGAAAAGCCTTAAATCTTTCTTGCCTGAAGTTCAGACTAGAACTCTTTCTCTTCTTAGCTCAAAAACTGGAAGGAGAATTTGAGGACCAAAGGGGCACACATTAGTACATTTGTTTCTCTTTGCTTGCTTTAGTTTTGGAAATTAAGTCTCTGTAAAACGCTGTCTTGCTCCTGAGGTAATGAAAAGTTGCGTTTTAACCACTTATCTCTATTCAGGATAAAGTTCGCATTGCACCACTGCTGTTTTTTATTTCCATGTGACCTGTAGTCCTTAAAACATACCTCTCTCTACTTGTGGCCTTGGATTTTGTTCACATTTTTGTTGTTGTAAGACTTGGTGCATTTTTTTTTTTTTGGAACGTTAGTATTGTTTAAATACACAAGCTTTAACTACAACCCGTGTGTATATATGTATAGTACGTACAGCCTGCTGTTGTACCGTGTAAAAGTCCGTTGTCTCTAAAACATTAAAGCACAGTATTATCCTTCGGAGTGGTAGCATCCCTGGTGACTTGGAGGCGATGGCATCTCACAAGGAAGTGGCACGAGCTCCATCTCCTTGTGTGGGAGTTGTTTCTGCACTTAGCAGGTGCTTCAAGCCTGGGAGGAGATGTTGGGTTGCTCTTCTGCTCCCTGGAAATGTTCAAAACCAGGCTGGATGAGGCTTTGGGCAACCTGGGCTAGTGGGAGGTGTCCCTGCCCATGGCAGGGGGTGGAACTGGATGATCTTGAAGGTCCCTTCCAACCCCAAACCATTCTGTGGTTTTTCTGGGACGGTAGTTGCTGTTGTCCCCAGGTCAGTCTCCATTTATTGACTGGACAGCAAAAAAAACCCCTGGAGACTTGGTATCACCTTCTTCTTGCTCACCCTCAGTGCCAGAGGAATTGAATCCAGTAGATCGGCGCAGGGAAGGTGGGAAGCAGTGACTGCTCGGGAGCTCATGGGGGCTTCCAGTCTTCCTGTGCACTTTTGAAGTCGTTCTCAATGCCTCATCGCTCTTTACTGAGGAAATATCTGCTTCCTGCCAAATGTTCAAATTACCTGAACAAATATATCTGAACAGCAGCTGTGATGAGACCTTGAAGCTGAAGTCTTTGCGCTTGGGTCACCCCACCACGGGCTGTGCACAGCAACGAGCTCAGCCTGCGCCGCCTGAAGTTCTACTGCTCCTTGGGGGTGGGAAGGCTGGAAAATACACCGCCTGCCTTCTCTCCTCCTGGGATGCTGAGGTTCAGGGGGAAAAATAAAACCAATGTACAGATCCCAGCCCCCCAGGGAGCATTGTAGGCAAAGCTTTACCCGTGGGCAGTATAGAGGGAAGGGCCTGGGCTGTGGGTGGCCGTGTTTTTGCAGCCACCTTGTCACTTCTCAGCATCCCGAGTCCCCAGAAGGAAAGCAGGCTGTGCCTGCGTGCTCCAGGGGAGGGTCTTTGTAGCGCTTTAGTGTTTAATGTTTGCTCTTCTATATTGCCAGGCGGTTCCAAGGGACAGACGGTGTCTGCGCTGTGGTTGGAGCCGTGACTGCACTGACGGATGAATGTGTCCTGCAAGCCGCCATCACCCCAGCTTTTCTGCTGCCTGGATGAGAAAAGGAGAGGAAAAAGAAGACATTTAATGCCTATATGAAAATGAGCAATTGCTTCTTTAATCTCTTACCTACTTCTCTGTGTCAAAGCACAAGATAAACCAGGTCAGGGTGGGGAAAAGGAACCAGAGAAGTTTTTGGGCTGCAGGCGGGGACGGGGAATCTGCTGGTACAGCATGGTTCTGTGAGTGAATGCTGTAGCAGTCAGAAATTGGAAAAGGAGGAATGAATGAAAGCCCCCTCCAGCCTTTCGTGGTTTTTTTTTCCAAATGGTTTGTCCTATTTGGAAATAACCCTTCTGGGAAGTCCCAGGAGCATTGTCAAGAATTGTCTTTGTCGTGAAGCTGAGTTACTTCTATGTTTCCCACAGTTGTACACTAAAGCTGGTGATCGTGGTGGGAAACGGCCTCTGTCAAAACAGGAACTTCTGCAAGAAATTTTCTCTTCCCTATTATTTTTTTTTTAAGGTATGGGATTGGGAAGGAGCCTCCCTGGTATTGTGATCATGGGAAAACCTGTTTTCATTGGGGTGAAAAAATATTCAGCTTGAGGGTGTTTAAACCTCAAAAAAACCAGAAGGGAGCGATAAGAACCAAATCTCTAAAAGAACCAAAAGCTGTTGTTAAGATGACATTCCCCCATTCCTCACCTACCCCGTCTCATGAGATCCCACCTGCTTCACCACGTGCTCTGTTTATTTCTGGATACCCTCCGGTGGTACGTGTTGCTTCTTGGGCTCTTTTTCTCAAGAGTCTCCCGTGTGAGCAGCTTCTTTGTGTTTGTTTTTTTTTGGGTTTTTTTTTTTCCTATCACTGGGGTTTACTTTTGGGTGTCTTCCATCATCTGCACATGTGCTGTGGAGTGACCGGTCAGCGAGTCCCGGTGCTGTCCCCAGCCAGGTCCTGGCACAGGCTCTTTGGTCCTCTCCCTTGGTGTCCCATCTCTAGGTGCAGGTTTATACTTTGGTTCAAGCAACTTTTCACAGCTGGGAGCCCCAGGGGTGATGAGTCCTGCTTATTTCACCATGCAAAGAAGTAGCCTACAGAGACCTGGCTGGTGGGTCACTGGCTCTGCCAGCATGTCCTAGCTGTCCCAGCGGTGGGAGCTTGCTGGAAACCCTGGGCAGATACCTCCTTCCGTGCTGCATTACCTGTGGGTGGACCTCATGCCTTCTTCACGCTCCCAAAGCCACTGAAGATTTTGATGTTCTCTGCTCCAAAGCACAAATCCCAAAACTTCTTCCTCAAAGCACCCTCTTGGCTATAAGTTCCTGCTGCTGGTCATCAAACTTGGTCACACTGGTGGTGAACAACAGATGCCCAAAGATGTGGGAGCTGCCAGCCCAACCCAGCCAGTCCCGGGGGAGCTCGTGGCAATGTGGCCAGCCTTGTGGTCAGGTCTTCGAGAGGGAGGGATGAGGGACATGGGCACTGGGAAAACCCTGACGGATGGCCAGCCTGCACCTCAGGGTGTTCAGCAGCGGCGAGCTGCAACCTAGCGTAGGACCGGGATGTCCATCAGTGCAGGATGAGGTCCTGAGCCCACGCCTTGCCCAGGCTGAGTACCTGTCAGTGTTTGAGGGAGGGTCAAAAGATGTCTGTCTTCCCTTGGCCATTTTTCAAG